AGGGCACAGAAGATGAAGACCGGGAAAGAAACATCAGACGGAGAACCAGGAGGAAGACCCTCTGGCCCAGAACACAAAGGAGCAGGTGGGGGGGGGGGGTGTCGGGATCCAGGAGGCCTGGTCGACGACCGGGCCGCGGGGACGCTAAGCCCCGGAAGCACCTCAAGGTATCCAAGGCCTGGAAATGGTTGCGAAACTGAGAAAGTTGGAGAGGGCGAGAAGGGGAATGCAAAACACGAGCATAAGACAAGCCAGAGAAAGAGGAAGACAGCAAATTTGGCGTCTTGCCTCAGTAAAAGAAATGATCATGATGTTTCAAATTGAGGATGGTTTCCTCAACTTTGTAGTGCACACATGCATGGGAGAAGGCAGGGTGGGCGTCATTACAATTGATACAGAGAGCTTGGGAAGAAGGGTACTCCATCTTTGAATGACCCAAGGGTTCCACTCAAGGGGCAGACGCCTCACTTGTGCACCTGAAGGGACCATGCACAAATCTCCAGCATCTATTGTATAGGCGAGGAAAGGGAATGTACTCCTGAACAGAGCATCTGGCACCAGCAAGAATGACCGAAGAGAGTCATTAGCAAGTCAGTAGGAAGAGTCATTAGTCGGTAGGAAGAGTCATTAGTCGGTAGGAAGAGGACCTACTATCAAATGTGACCTTCACAATGGGAAGAGGCTGACAACGACGACCATGAAGGGGTTGAGTGCATGCATCTATCTGGAGGACAGAATGGCTTTGGGCCTCGGGGATATAAAATATCCTTGTGGCAGTCTTTCACTTCCCTGTCACCAGTCGCAACATGATGCGGAAGAGCTGTGCCAATGCCAGCATTGAATGCCAGCATTCAGTTCCAAAGAGCATCCCACTCCAGCAGCTGCCCAATAAGCCCCCTCACAACGGCATTGGGCTGGAAAGGGAAGGGGTGACACCTCCCAAGTGCTACACAGTCGTAACAGCTTTGCATTTTCCCTTGATAATTCCGCCTCCCTCAAGTCAACAAGTGACTACCTCCAGAATACCCAACAACTGCCTAACTCTGGGGGATACCCACTTACAGGTCTAATCAGACATCAGGTGCAGGGAGAGAGTTGCCAATCGTCATGTGCTCTTAAAGAGCGAGTTTATTATTACTCTCAAATATCTATAAGCAATCTAAGGGGAATAATGTTAGTGAAAACAATTTAATAGATCAGAGGAGGAAATTTGCCCTGGCTATTTCACCAAACAATTACTTTTGCAGGAACAGCCACACATCTGTGCTATCCTAAAATATGAGACTTCTAGACATTATTGTTAAGCAAGTAATTATCAAAAGAAGGCACCAGGCGAAGTCCAAATAAACAGAAGATGAGCAGAGATAAAGATCAAAACAGGAAAGGGTGCGAGTGCGAGAGTCAACACGAGTGGGCTCGCCAGAATTCAGAAGAGACAGAAGGAGAGGACAAATGGTTCAAGGCGGCGGCCCTGGGTGGTCGTCAGAACATCACCCCGGAGGGTACGAGCATCCTGCATCCTGAGCGGTGACGAGAACGCCATCTGTGGGTCAGCTTCCGAAACCCCCTCCAAATGGACGACGCCATCTAGTAAGGACGGGATATACCGGCCACAGGGGCTGGATTCCCGTCTTAATCAGCTCATAACATAGCGCTGCTGACCTCTGGTGAGGTGACGCTTAGACAGCAACGCCATCTATGGAGTGGATAGGTGGGCGTTTGTGTCTAAGCCTGTAAGTGAGGTGCCCTAGGGTGTCCCTAGTACTGATGACGTGTCTGATTACAGAGTCGACCTGGGACTGCTGGATTGGACGATGGGTAGTCTACCCAAGGCAGCCATAGTATCTCCACGTGTTTGCTGCAGAAGCTGTGAGTCACCCCCCGGATGAACACTGTTGTGTTAGCCTGCCTGTGAGGTGGCAGAGAACAGGAATTGTCGTATCCGGGGTGACTGGTGGAGAAGACTAGCCACTGGGGTGTTGTTGAGGGAGGAGAGTGATCTGTGGAATCACACGAGGGCTCCTGCCTAGGGCTCGCAAACCCTAGTATCGGTCGTGGAGTGGCCTACGCAGCAGAGCTGATGGAACCTGCCAGTTACAGGCTGGATTGTGGTTGAAGGCCTCCACCACGGTGCACCCAGTGGGACTGTGATTGGCTGGCCTGTGGCCAGGGTAGACTCGCCGAGGGAATCGAAGGATTCATCGTGAGGCCACAAGAAAACCAGGGCTACTCGTCTTGAGCACCGTGGAACATTAATCGTCTTCAGAGGAAGACGATTCTGCACATTGAATATTTATACCCCCGTGTGACAGTATATATATTTAATTTTTTGGGTGCTGGCAATTATATGTTTAATTTAGTGTATTTGTATCCCTTCCCCTTAAATTTACTTGCGTTATGGAACACACCCTTGAAAGCCACTACTAACTTGGGGCCGGATACCCAAACTCTAATAACATCGGAGAAGAACCCCAGTGCGACCCAATAGGGCTTGTAACACCACGTGAAATCTAAGTAAAGAGAAAAACGAGCAAAGAGAAAGATCAAGACAGGAAAGAGTGCGAGTCCAAGAGTCCAAATGAGTGAGCTCATTTGGATTCAGAAGACAGGCAAGAAGAGATTATGAATGGTTTGAGAAGGCGGCCTCGGGTGTTTGTCAGAACATCACTCCAGAGGGTATGTCGACAATAGAAATGACCCAGCAGGAGCACAGGCTCCGGCAAGGAGTCCATCAGGTGTAAGATCGGGAAGAGAAAGCGGGACATTTGGGGGGAGGTAAATGGAACAAACCGTGTACTATTTACACACAGACACGTGCAGCAGAACATTGGAGAGGCGACGGAAAAAAGAAGGGGGACGAAGGGAACAGAACAAATCAAAAGAGCAGAAGAGGAGGGGGTGGGGGGGGGACAACCAAGGGTCAAGGACAGCAAACAGTAGGGGCAGAAAACCAGGGAGTGCACCTCAGCAAGGGCAACAACGGAGAGGGAAGCGGGGACCAAAGAAACCTTCGTAGCAGGTACAGGGGGCGCAACCACCGAAACGGGAGAGGATGGAGCGAGAGAGTCAGAGGTAGGGGGCGAGGAAGAAAGCGAAGCCTACATAATTACCAGCCGGGGAGGAGGAGGGAGATGAGCCAGGCTTACGCTTCTGACTCAAGAGACAGGCGCCCAGCAAAAACGTACTGGGCAACAGATTACAGCAGGAGAAGAGCGAGAACGAACAACACGACAACCGCTGGGAGAGTGATGGACATCAGCCCGCACAGACAGGCGACGTGAAGCGCTAAGAGATGGAGAAGGATGGGAAGGAGGATCGGAGGGAGACGAGGAAGACTACACAGGAGACAAGACAGACTGGGTAGAAAGGAGGAGATAAGACAGAAGGTAGAAAGAAAAAGGAAAACTTTCTTTAGAAAGTTTTCTTACTTTAGAAAGAAAGAAAACTTGATGCGCCTCAAAAATCAAAGGTAATCTTTACAACCCGAAGGGGTTGACGGCGACGACCACGAGGGGGACGAGTAAACGTGTCCACCTGGAGGACAGAATGGCCCTGGGCTTCGAGGATATGCCGAATATATTCATGGTAGTCTTGTACATTCCTATTCCTAACACCGGTTGCAACATAGGGTGGGAGGAGAACAGTGCCTACACTGCCATTCAACCGAGCGTTCTTGGAGCCCCGAACAGGGGTCTTACCAAGGCAGGATAAGGTGGCTAAGCAGGTGGCTGCATCCTGAGCAGCAGCAGCAACGACACGTGTACCAAGACGGGTGGGGTTGAAAGTAACAGAGGCATCTACTGAATCAACAAGGTGCCTATGGAGGGAGAAATCGTCAGGAGGTGCAGAATCAAGAGGGAGGAGATTAAAGTATTTGGCCCATGAAGAGGGTTCAAACAAGGCTTGGTATACATTAGTACGGGAAGGGATCGAGCGAGTGCGGCCGCAGCGTGGACGGCGTTGAGAACCTCCAGAGGGGTTAAAAGACACAGTAGTCACAATGAGAGTAAGCCGTGCCAGGGGATGAGGTGGTCACCATTGGGGGCTTGTGGCCCAATGTAGTGGGGGCTAAAGAGCCCGATCTTCCAACACAGTCCGACTTGGGGGCTTAATAGCCCACCCCACGAGCCCGAGAAGATACAAGAGGAACAGAATTCAAAATAAATACGAGAGGAAAGACTTTCATTCACGAATGTGCCCCCACATCTACCACGGAGCCACAATTAGAGGATAGGACACCCAACAAGAGACATGTTGCCGATCTTGCCGGGCCCCCCCCAGGGGTGCCTCATGAGTATACACCCCACAAACGTCACCTTAAGAATCATCAGTCCGTCGAGATCGGGTTCAGTGACGAAAGGAGGATTGACACAGTGTCCCCTCACTCGCAACGTCGGGTATCACAGTTCTACGGGTGCGAGAGTATATTTCCTCAAACACCGGGACGTCAAAACAAAAGATGGCTGAAAGAATAATCAAAACAAGCAAAGGTAGGCAGGAAATGAAGAGGGGGCGGGAAATGAAGAGGGGCAGGAAAAACGAAACATTAGGAAAAGGAAAAGTCGTCTGGCAGAATTTGAGGACAGCAGGAGCATAAGGCTACAAAAGGACAGAGGACTGTTCCATGGAGCATCACACTCCGGCAGCCACCCACCAAGCCCCCTCATGGCAGCAACGGGCCGGATAGGGAGGGGAACATTACTGTTAAGCCTACACTGCTGCCAGCACCTCCGGGAGTGTGCACCAGCACACACGGTAACGACCTTCTGCACATCACACCATCCATCCGTGTTTTTGTAGGAGTGTATAAACATAGAACAAATTACCAGGTAATGTAAGAGGTGGGGGATCACTTCACTGTTTTAAGCGTAGGTTAGACACGTATATGAATGAGTTTGGGTGGATATAAACAGCTGCTGCTTCATATGCGCCAACAGGCCTTCTGCAGTTTCCTTAATACGTAAAAATTAGCATACATTTGTACATGCAGACATACTTACAACTTTGCGAGGATCCTGTCGACAGGGGTGAGGGGAGGCTTGTAACCAGGGAGGAAGAGGCCCTTGTAGTCTCCTCTCTCCACGAAGGTGTGCGTTGTGTCCCCGTACTGCAGGCCGACAATGCCATTAACATTTCATCACAAATTACTGTGTTCACTACACCTGATAATGCAGTCGTAACAGCTGGGAAAGGCAGGAGGCCAATGCCAGCATGGAAACAGGTGTTGAAGTGCCAGTTAAAGTACAAAATTGTCTAAGACACTAGTGAGCATGTCAATGGAGTCCAAAACATTATTGGCAATCATTTAAAATTTAGTATGGCACGTGGGATCAAAAATAAATGCTGTCAACTTTACCAATTGAAACGGGCTTTGATAACAGTACAGATGACTAAATTGGCATTAATGGTCAAATAGTGAATCTCAAGCAAACCCCCATGGCCAGGCTAAGTGTTTGCCAGGGTGTTTAAAGAATGCAAAGAGGAGCTTTGTGAGCCATTGTCTATCATGTTTAATAAATCATTACAGTCAAGGGGAGTGCCAGAGCCGTGGAAGGTTGCCAATGTGTTTCCAATTTTCAAGAAAGGATCACTTGTGTCAAACTATCGGCCAATTAGCTTAACGTCTATTGTGGGAAATTTATTTTAATAAATAATTGCAAATACTATTCTTCTTCATCTAGGAAAACTAATAAATGATTCACAACATGGTTTTAGTAATGACCGTTCATGTATAACAAATTTGCTATCATTTTATTCCAGCACAGTTGAGGCAGTTGATAGTGGTAAGGATTGTGATGATGTGTACCTTGACTTTAGCAAAGCTTTTGATACGGTGCCACATGAAAGATTGATTAAAAAGGTCATGGTAATGGGGGTGCTATTTTAAGTTGGATTAGGGCATGGATATACCAAGGGAAACAAAGTTAATGGGGTTAAATCATTGTGGGAAAATGTAAGTGGAGTGCCTCAAGGCTCTGTCCTAGGACCTCTTATTTATAATCTATATAGATTAAGATTCAGGCTTGAGCAGCAATATTCGCAAAATTTGCCGATACAAAAAACGGAAGGAAAATAAACATGGGAAAAATCACTATAACTTCAAGACAATCTAAATAGGGTTCTGAAACGGTCAAAAGATTGGCAGATGCAGTTTAATGCTGACAAATGTAAGGTTTTGAGGCTAGGTAATTATGATAGTTACAAAATACGAGCTCGATGGTGTTGAGATTGCAAAATCGGAATGCAAAAGGTATCCAGGAGTTATAATTAGCAAGAATTTAAAACTAAAAAATCAATGCATAAATGCTCGTAATAAAGCAAATAGGATACTGGGATTTATTTATCGAAGCTTTAGTAATAAGATGTGTCTTACACCTTCAGCTATATCTTGCTATTGTTAGGCCCCTGTGGAAAATAATTTTCACCAACTTTTGTAGCATAACATGTCATAGTCTACGAAAGGACATGGGTTAGACATAGCTATATATAGGACAAGCCAAGCTCTCTCGAGACAGCTCGTCTAATCGGCATATTACGACCATTTTGTGAACCACCATCTCAGAGGCCTGTCTCCATAAATTATTCATATCAAGATATATATAATTACATCTAACAGCTATAAGCATATTGTAATATGCCAAAAATGTATCTACTCAATAATTGTTTAGACAAATACGTTTGGTTAACATTTATATGAATGAATTCTTAAAACAGGCCTTGGGGTGGATGACAGTGGCCAGACGCTGTTACGACAGAAGTGTAAACCAAACACTCCTCCACTATGAAGATACTCCAGGAAGTTTAAGCGGCTTATTGCCGCCATTTAACAACCATGGACCTGATTGGTGGTGTAAACTGCACATACAACGAATATGGGGAGCCGATCACAGCCTAGAAAGTAAAGGGGGCTATGACAAAGGGTAAAAATACAGCACTTGGTGAAGATGGCATCATCGACACTCAATGCACTGTGTGAAGTGTCTGGGAATCCACTACTCCATCTGTTTAACAAGTCATTCCTAAGTGGAGTGTTGCCCACACAATGGAAACGTGCAATAATTGTTCCCATACCGAAGCCCGATGACCCTGGCAATTACAGACCTATCAGTCGTGCCATGCACTTGGCAAGATGCTTGAAAGGATCCTAAACCGACTGTTGCACAAAATAAGCAGGTTGGGGGAGGGGGTCAATAGATTAGTTAAAGGACTGAGCACAGCAAACTGTATAGTTAATTACTAGGCTAATGACACAGCTAGGTACTCTATTTGTTGACATCAAAGGAGCCTTCGACAAAGCACAGGGGATTGCGATCCTGGACGAGCTTGCATGCATGGGTGTCAAGATTCATGAAATGAGTTGAAGACTACCGCACAGGGAGGAAAGCCAAGGTCTGCTTCAATGGAGCAGTCTCCAGAACAATAAATATGGAATTCGGGACCTTCCCCCAGGCGGAGTCTTAAGCCGTACACTATTCAATGTACTTATGAACGCCATTGCAAATATTGATTTTCCGGAAGGAACAACAAGTGGGATATGCAGATGTCCTAATACAAGCTCCCACCTTGGGAAAAATTAAACAGTCCATGGAACTCCTCCGAAGGCACACTCCCATCACAAACGGGAGGGCAAATGAACACCTGCAAATTAATGGTGTAACACTTGAATGGGTTGATCACTATTGGTACCTTGGCGTCACTGTCGGCTCTCACAAGGAAGAAAGAGGAGCTCAATCAACTCATAGGAACATGTAAAAGTCAACTTAGGGCACTGAAAGCCATGACCTGGAATGGACATGGAGCCTCTATTGCCGTTCTTAAAATGATGTACACAGCCTATGTGCGCTCCGTCATAGACTATGCCGCACCAGTTCTGTGCACCTACTCCCAAAGCGATATGAAAAGGCTCGAAAGTATACAGAATGAAGCCATGACAATCATTCTTGGAGTTCTAAGAACTGCCAAATCTTTTAATCTACGAGAGGAGTTGTCCCTCCCCAGTGTTAAAAGCAGGATTAAGGAACTGAATGCTAAGCTTGCTATTAGGATAGCCAGAGATCCTTATTAAAATGATATGGCCAAGAAAACACCGAGTTCTGTGTTACCTACAGGAGGAAACAAAGCAAAAAAAAAAAAAAATGGCACCACAGATCAGCCTGCTGTCTTGAACTTCAGCTGCTTGAGCAAGCCCGTGAGCTCCTGCCTGTAGAGGTTACCTCCCTGGGAGGATGACTCTTGCAGGATTAACATCAATGAAATGGCAACAAAAAAATCCAACATCCTCAAGAAATGAGGCACAAGTATCTCGGGGACATTTATAAAGAAGCCAGAGATGAACTAGATCAAATTTACACTGATGGGTCATCTAATCCTGTCAATGGCAGGGCTGGTGCAGCATTCACCGTAATTAGGAATAATGCCTTTCAACGCAGAAATGAAGAAAAAGCACGTATTGAGAACTATGCCTCTTCAATGCAAGAGGAGCTAACTGCCATTGTTATGGCGTTAAGATTCCTTGAACGAAACACTAATAGCGCAATGATCTGCACCGACTCAAAAGCAGTGTTGCAAAGCCTAAGTAAAAATCAGGCTGAGAATCTTGCGATAGTCGCTGAAATTAAGAGCTGTGAGGGTACTAATCAACCAGGGAGGAGTCGTCAAGTTTCTGTGGATCCCCTCCCATGTTGGAATATGTGGGAATGAACGAGCAGATGTGCTGGCTGCTGAAGGCGCTGAAGGAGACCATATTGAATACTTCATACCCAAGACTCAACTACAAATTAGAGGTATTATCAGGCAACATCACCATGACAAGATAACTGAGGAAAGGAGGATATAAGCACAAACCAGTGAATCTGTACGATGAGACAACATGGTTGCAGCTGGCAACCCCAATCATTATGGACGAAGAGGTGGCGGCCGCGGAAGGGAATCGGTAATAGCGAGCATCCGTCTTGGATACAAATATCCATGGAGATTCGGGATGGAAACTTCAGCTGAGCAGCTGAGTTGCACAATCTGATGAGAATGACGGATACCGCCTTGACCACTACTTGAGAGAGAGAGTGAACACCTGAGACACATTAGAAACGTGTAGAATAATAAACTCCACATTGTTTGAGTTGGGAAAACTGTCAAATATTGATACTGTTCTTAAGAGATTCCCCAATTTTATACTTGCAAGATAAAGTAAGTACTTAAGGGTTGACAGATGTAAAATCATCTTGTTTGAAGAGCTGTTCACTTGAGACAGTTAAGCAAGTCCCAGTTGTGTCTGGGTACAAGTGACAGGATGAACAACCTGCGGGTTTTCTTCCTATTGGGGAGTTTTATACGTTGCTATGGCGGTATGTCCACTCACAGGATGAGTGGCGCTACCCAATAAACTTACCCCTGGGGGGGGGGGGGAACCCCCCTCCCACACTGTATACAAACCCCGCCACCACACAAGGATCTGGTCAGTGGTGGTAATTTTATATAAATGTGTAAAATTAAGGCACTATTTTAATGAAAAATGTCTTACCATATATTGCAATTACTTAAATACAAATTAAAGTATACATTTACAATTGATAAAGTCATATGACAATCTTGTCATTGTTTAAAATAATTCATGTAGCAAGATGCCAGATCAAAGGATAGGCTAAAATAATGTAACCGTGTGAGTGGCAAGTGTAGATTTTTCATTCAACAGGTTAATGAATGCAGCCCCCATTTCTTTTGGAAAACTTCTGAAGTAATTATCAAAAGAAGGCACCAAACCAGGAAGGCTATGTAGCACCACCAAAGTGCGAAATAATCAGAGGGGGCTAAATATCACCAAGAATGCCAATACGAGAACAGAAACGCATAAGGCGAATGATATCAAAAGTATCCGATTCACCAAGAATTCTATCGAGGGACAAGTGGCCGCGAGGGACGGTCGGAAAGCAAGAGACACGCTCGTCCTGGAAGTCAGGACATTCAACAAGGATATGCACAACTAAGAGGGACAATGCAATGTGGACAATAAGGAGCAGGGCGGTGCTCCATTAAGTGACCATGAGTTAAGGAAGTATGGCCAATCCGCAACCTTGCTAGAGCAGTTTCTCACCGGTTACGGTGGCAGGA